CATCATCCACCATATGCAGTGATCAGTGATGGATAGTGGTAGATGAACCATTTGTATCTCACGCAGATGTAAATGCAACAGTAAGAGTGTTGGAGAGAGGCTGTGGACAGCCAAAGTTTTCTTGTGGTGTTGGGCCGGCCAATCATGATCTGCCATGTCAGCTGTAGCCATGTACAAAGCTGATGTGGTGCATAATGATCGGCGGCCTGATAATGAATGATAGATATATTAAGGAAAGCCTAGGGCTTTCTTTTGACATTTGACAGTTGACACCATATGTTGAAGCACAATGGCTTTTGGGTTTTCTAGGTGGGCTTCATGGACAGCCCAAAGCGACTGTCCCTCAACGACAGAGATACGAACCTTGACGATGAACAAAACTCTTGGAATCAAGGTTTAAAATATCGATACGCCCTACGTTAATAGGGGCATATTGGGCATTTCCATATTTGATTTTTTATTTTTTTTTTTCAAAACTGGTTTAGGGGAGACGGTCTCCAATACATCCACTGTAAGGACATATCAGAAGGGTCCTGGAACGATGTATCGGCCGATATGGCCCGATACATAACAATACTTTGAACCTTGCTTGGAATGAAACCAAGGCCTTGATCAAGGTAGACGACCTGTTCAGTTGAACTGTTGGCATCGTTTGGATTGGATTGTAATAGGCACAAGGTAGAAACAATCTCAGCTGTGATGATTGGAGAAAACCCAAATTGGCACAAAGCTCAAAGGAGTCGACTAGAATTCAAAAAAACAGGTTTGGCAAAGAAGAAGAATAAGAACCCTAGATTTGTGACTTATAACTCATGACGTGAGAGCTTTTATCAAACATGTGAAAGGGAGTGAATGGACCGGCAATGGTGAAAGTTGTCAGTGACCAACAGGGGAAGCAGTCGAGCAGATGGAGGCGGGAGAGAAAGACGACGTGCTCTCTTATAACTGACCTACAGCCCACTCAACGGCAATGGGGCATTCTACAAATTCAAACTCGCCAAAAATTTTTATTTTTTTATTTTTTGTCTTTGTTGTGCTTTTGGGCTTTAAAAGCACAAACCTTGAAACTCCAAACACAATCTACATTTTTGGTTGATAATGCGTTTTGTTCGAAGAAGGAAGACGTGCTGTTGTAGATGAAGAAATAAGATGCCATTATTCTCTCTTTATTCTGCTGAAACCAAACACTGCTTGATATTTTTAGATACCAAACATTGTTTCTTTCTAAAAGCTTGACAAGAAGGGCTAGAGGTATTTTTTGAATAAACAACGATGAGCCTATGCTCCTAAACATTTTCGCCTTGGTTTAGGTGGTGTGGTCACTTGACCGGTCAGCAATATAAAATGGTTCTTAATGAAACATCAATTAAGTAAAATGGTTGTAAACTGTAGGGGTGTTTAAATAAAATGCCAACTGTAGGGTAAGTTTTAGTACATCAGTGAAATTATAGGGCCTATTTTAGTAAATGACCCTCATATGTATGTACGTTTATTCTTATTTTTTTATATATTTCTTTTGTAGATATGGCAATTATAGACAAGTAAAAAAATTACGTTGAAAAACAGTTCCACCAATCATCATCTATTTTTTGTGAGGCTTTCATCTTCTCTTAGAACTACCATATCAAGTTGGACTTTGCAAATGGCAATGTGTGTTTACATCCTACCATATATTTAACGGAAAATTCCCAATTAGTACCCTATATTTTGGGTCTACTGTCACTTTGGTCTCCGAATTTTAAAATACAATAATTCAGTATCCGAATTTTCAAAACATGACAATCCAGTACCTGTTGTTAACTCGTTGTTAACCAACCGTTAAATGGCATTTGAAAAAGACACAAATGTCCTTCAAGTGTCATCTAATTTTCTGTATCAACTATCCAAACATTGACAAAAAATTAATAGTCCCAAATCTTTGTCTTTTCCATTCAAAAAAGTTGGGATCACGTTTGAGTGGGCATTCTGGTGACCCCAACTTTCTTGAATAGAAGAGACAGATTTGAGACTGTTAATTTTTTTTCAATGTTTAGATGGTTGATAAAGAAAATTAGATGACACTTAAAAGACATTTGTGTTTTTTTCAAATGGCACTTAACAGCAGGTACTGGATTGTCATGTTTTGAAAATTCGGATACTGAATTATTGCATTTTAAAATTCAGAGACCAAAGTGGCACTAAACCCAAAGTACAGGGTACTACCCAATCAGGAATTTTCCCTATATTTAATAATGACAAACAAGGACTTTGATTAGACTGACCATTTCAAAAAAAAAAGAACAAAAACAAAAAGGAAGAAAAAAAATTGGGCCTAAGGTCCTAAATTTTCCCTTTCAGTTAAAGAGTTTGGTCCATTCTAACATGGTCAAGTTATCCCTTTCTTTTACGAGGACTTTGAATTCTGCTTTGTTGGAGATTTTGCTGGTTGAGTTGTTTTCTCTGTTGGAGTTTGATCCTCTTGCGCACCTAGCGCCATTTGCAGAGCTCTGTCAATTCACTTTCCTCCTGGTGCTCAGTTTACTCGTGTTTTATTACAGCAGTTGGATCTGTGTCATGTTTTATCTGTTTTTTTCTTTTCTGCTGTCTATGTGACTGGAACTATATTCTGAGCATTATGAAATATGAATGGCTTAAAAACTCAAAAATCCAGATATCACTAATTGAAGATGTATAATATATAATAGCCACAGCAATATTCATGGTTGATTTCGCCTTGGTGATCCGAGATGTAATCATACATACTTACATAGTAACATTCTCTTTCGTGACAAAAATGAAAAGAGATGTTGACCATCCTGAATATCAGAACTTTTGTCTGGGACATTTCTTATAGTTAAGGCTGTGTGGTTTGAAAGAAAAGGTAGGGAAAACTATATAAAAATACAAATGCAAATATTTACAGTGCAAATACAGGTTTAGAAATACAAAATACAAGGCTTTACACCGTATATATTTGTATTTATACTCTTTCCAAACTGGAGCCTTTTTTTCAAACCAAACAACGGGTTAAATGCCAACAGTGAACTGAAGATTTTATAACATGGGATTTGGAACCAAGTAAACGAACCCCTTCAAATATAGAAAACATGTAAAGGCCGTTACCCATGATGGCGATTTAAATATCAAATTGAATGTCACCAATTTTATTCCAGACAAGATACACTAATGGGAGAGAAATAAACACATTTGAAAATCCTTCGATATAAGGTCATCCAAAATGTCTAAAATCTGCAAAGTTTGAGCGTAGATGCATAAATCTGATGAACTTGACTGTGCATTCAACTGATACAAGATAATCCAAAAATCCTTAGATTGAGATCGTTATGAGGATATTAGTTTTGATATTTAGCTGTGAGTTAGACCTATATTCAACCACTTCGCAAGTGCCAAGGAAGGGGTGTCAATGGACCGATTTTGGGTTGGACACCATCCGAATCAGAAGTGATATAGACAGACTGGACGGTCATAAAAAAGATATGGACGCAGACCGGTCCGAACATGAATAGTCCATTCATAGAATGGACCGAAAGTGGACAAAGCCACTAGTTCGAATGGTCCGTTCAATGTTCATTTTCGTTTGAACTTCGAAGCATCAGATGTGAAAGCTTTCGAAGGCTAGGGTTCAACGCCTCTGCGCCTCCATTGCTCCATCCTCAGTCTCGCTGGCGAACGGCGGTATTTCGTTTGATCACCTGATTTTGTTATTTCACCATGCCTGATGCCATGTGCTCTCTCTCTCTCACTCTCGCTCTCTCCCCTACATTTGAGCCATTGTCACTTGCAGGAAGTATACTTTGTTCCGGTGGAGGAGAAGGCCCCATCCTTGCCGAGAAAGGATTATCCGAAGCCATTAATCTTCCACAACGGACGGGCAGTGGCAAGGCCTACACCATTAAACGTGTCGGCAGTGCTACTGTGGGTACCTATGGGAGTCATTCTAGCCAAATGCATGATTCAGTTGAAAGAGTGATTGATTTATTCAGATTTTTTCTTTTATTTTCTTTTTCTATTTTAGAAAGCCAAATGCATGATTCATTGTATAGACACTCGTGAAAAATGGGAGTTTCCAAAGGGAAATGTTTTTTATTTATTTTTTCTTTCTATTTGTTCAGTTCAGTATGTATTGACAGCTACGTTGAGAGGGGTTTATGGAGATCTATTATCTCCTAGTAAATAGGGATACATATCGTATGATATGCACTGATACATTGTGATATTTTGAGCATTTGCCCAACGGTATTCACAGTTATCTAATGACCTTGTACATATATTTAACTATTGTTTGGGATTACCAGGTTTTGATCATTTGGGTTAGGCTTTCTATTTCTTTTAGGACAATAAATTAGGTTGGATATGTAATTGAAAAATCCATTTCACTGATTGGACCATGAACAATAAATTTATTTTTTAACATACCTAACAAAAAAATATCATCACTGATTAGATTTTAAGTTCTTTTTTGCCTAAAATATTTGATTTTCCTGTTTATATTCTGGCCTTTGATGCCTATACTTTCAGATGTTAAATTTGTTTTTCCAATTTGGGCTTTTTACTCGTTCATTTTAAGTGAAGTCTATGCATATGATGTCTTACAATTGATCTCTAAGGTAAGTTCATGTGTTGACAAGTACATGGAATAGAAAAAAGCTCTAAAAGGTTGCTCTCATTAGAGACTCTGTGGAAGTAGATATCAGTCATGTGATGGTATACGAGGGATTGGTTGCAGTGGACTACTGCTCTATGTCAAATTCTACAAGCCAGAGTTATAAAAGACATGAAAAGATATTAATGGGAGTTTGGAGACCATACAAACGCAGGTAAAAATCACTAAAGCACCCTACACAAATATTCCTACATGATCCAAATATGCTCCCTAACGTGGAGGAACATTTTACTTGTTTTTTCTGTTTTTCCCTTTGACCGATTGCAGAGCACATTTTTGTTTTTATTGTATCTTAAGACCTATTATTTGGGGTGTTTAAATAAAAGTTAACCCCACCTTACTTTGATATTTCAAATAGAATTGACTGAATCTTCATCGCCCGCTTCACTGTCACTGCTACTGCTCCCACTCCCACTCCACTCTCACTGCTGTTCTCACTGCTCCCACTTGAACTTGAAGTCTGCTCATCTCTTTCTTCAGCATTCACCTGAGCCCTCAAGGCCTCTACGGCATTAGGGCCCTTTTCTGCCTCATCATCACTGACATTGAGGGTTGGAATCTCTAAAGGTAATTCCCCAGACAAATTGTTCTGAGACAGAGAGATATCTGAGGGTTGGAATCTTCCAAATGCTTATGGGAATCTCTCCAGTCAATCTGTTTGTAAACAACGAAGTTCTCTAATTTACTCAAAGATCCCAACTCACTTGTAATTTTGCCTTCGAGTTGGTTTTTCTGCAAGAGTAATTCCTTCAAGGAACTACAGGTCCCAATCTCTGGTGGAATTACCCTTGACAAAGAGTTCTCATTGAGGTAAAGTAGCTCCAATTTAGTTAGTATTCCAAAGGAGGGGATCTGACCTATTAATTTATTATCCAGAGCTGCCAAGAATCTTAATCCACTGCAATTGCCCAAGCCTGATGGTATTTCTCCATCAAATTGATTGTAAGTCAAGACCAACTCCTGCAAATTCCTGCAATTACCTGAACCCCCCAACTTTATCCTGCCCTCAAGTCTGTTCGAACTGACATCCAAGTAAGCAAGGAACTGAAGATTGTTTAGGCTCTTAGGCAAAACTCCAACTAACTGGTTCTCAATAAGATAGAGTTCTTCCAATTTAGTACAATTCCCAATAGATTCTGGTATCATCCCTGATAATTGATTACTATAGAGCCACAGAGATGAGAAGGTTTACTAAGACGTTAATGGTAGTGACCCACAACTGAACCGGCAGATGATGCAGTAAACTGCTTGTGTGAAATGAAATCATATCCTTTTATGTTGACTTTTAATGGCTTTCAGATGACATTAATGGCTTTCAAAACAAATCAGATGACGCAGTAAACTGCTTGTGTGATGAAATCATATCCTTTTATGTTGATTTTTAAGTAGGGAAAACATTTTTTGAGGAAAACATTTAATTTGGACTGGATTGGGACCGGTTTGTATGGGGTTTGGACCGGATTTGGTCCAGTCCATTTGTAAATGGACCAATGTTGGACTGGATCGGATTGGACCAAATCCAGTCTAATTGACAGCCCTACATTCCACCATGATACATGCAAGATGGCAGCTGGTGAGAACAAAGTCGATAATTCTCATGTAGTACTCCAACCAAGAAAAATTGTAAGGCCAGACTTGTAACACAAATTACAGATATGGCTTAGCATAAAGGAACCTCTACTTCAGATACAGCAACTTCCAAGAGGCAAAACTTTGAACTTGTATGTCTATTCCCTAGTTCCATAGCAACCAACAATAATCTTTACTAATAATTAGTAATAATCTTAATAAAAAAAAAAGTATAAGCTTCACATCAAAGTACAAAAAGTCAGCATATTTGTTGAGAAAAAGTGTTTGGTTGTATTTGGATATATTTGTAATATTGAGAAATTATGGGGACCTATATGTATTCATAGGAGAAAGAGGCTTCTGTGTAAATCTGATATATTTCGGTCTATTGCTTATTTAAGCTAGTGGTTGTGTGAGATTAGAGTTTGACGAAGAGAGTGCGAGTGAGAGAGAGAGAGTTGTATCTCTTGTTCTCATAGTGGATATTTTTCCTCTCCTATGGATGTAGGCTACCATGCCGAACCACATTAAAGCTTAGTGTTTCTCCTTGATTTGCTATTCTATTTTATGTTAGTTGACATGGTATCAAAGCGGGTTTTTTTTACTGTATTTGCTTTATGCTCATTCACGAATCTCTCAAAGGCTGCTGATTTTTGGGTGCAGGAAATGTGAAAAAGGTCTAGTAGGGTTTCCTCTAACAATTGAAGGTGTTCCACTTGCTGTGAAGAGTTTAATAGTGGTATGATAAGTGATTTTGTGAGCTATGAAGTTATTCCGGTTGCTGCTATTTCATGTTCAGTTGTAGTAGTTGACTACTACAAAATATCCTCATGTAGTAGTCAACTACTAGCCACAGGTTGCAGTTGTTTGTGAGTTGGTGGTGGTTTTGTGAGTTGAAAAAGTGGCTTTGATGCCTCAAGTTGTGATTGTTTGTGATTTTGTGAGTTAGAAAAGAGGTTATGATGCCTCAAGTTGTCATTGTTTGTTAGTGGTGGTTTTGTGAGTTAGAAAAGGGGCTTTGATGCCTCAAGCTGTAGTTGTTTGTTGGTGGTGGTTTTGTAGGTTGAAAAAGAGGCTATGATGATCAAGTTGTGGTTGTTTGTGAGTTGAAAATGGGGTTTTGATGCCTTGAGTTATGGTTGTTTAATGGTTTGTTGGTAAGAGGCCATGATGCCTCAAGTTGTGGTTGTTTGTGAGTTGAAAAAGGGGTTTTGATGCCTCAAGTTGTGATTGTTTGTGAGTTGAAAAAGGGGTTTTGATGCCTCAAGTTGTGGTTGGTTGGAAAAGGGGCTTTGATGCCTCAAGCTGTGGTTGCTTGTGAGTTGGTGAGTTGGAAAAGGGGTTGTAATGCCTTAAGTTGTAATTCTTTGTTGGTGGTGGTTATGTGAGTTGGAAAAGGGGCTTTGATGCCTCGAGCGGTGGTTGTTTGTTGGTGGTGGTTTTATGAGTTGGAAAAGAGGCTATGAAGCCTATGATGCCTCGAGCTGTGGTTGTTTGTTGGTAGTGGTTTTATGAGTTGGAAAAGAGGCTATGAAGCCTATGATGCCTCAAGTTGTGAATGTTTGTGAGTAATGGTTTGTGGTATGGTGATAACTCTGTTGGTGAACATCGGTGAACTGTTGCTTCAAAGGTCCTTTCAACATCTCCAAGGTTCATGGCTGTTGCTGCTTCAATAGTAAACCTATTTCCATGAAGGTTGCTTCAACATCCTACTTGCAAACTCAAGCTGGTTTTCCCACCTTGAGTTTGAGGGGGTGTGTTGAAAGAAATATTGTGTTTGGTTGTATTTGGGAATATTTGTAATATTGATAATTCTGATATATTTTGGTCCATTTTAAGCTAGTGGTTGTGTGAAATTAGGGTTTGAGGAAGAGAGTGAGAGAGAGAGAGAGAGTTTGTAATATCTTGCTCTCATATTGGATATTTTTCCTCTCCTCCTATGGATGTAGTCTATCAAGCCGAACCACATTAAATCTTGGTGTTCTCTCTATTTCTTCTTATTTTCTCCTTGATTTGCTATTCTATTTTATGTTAGTTGACAATGCTAATGAGAAGAAGAAAGAGAACAAAAGGAAAACTAAGATAATAAAAAGAAGGGGTGGAAACCTTGTTTTTTCCACAGAGAAAGAATAAAAGAAAAGGGCAGAAGAAGAGTGTCCCAAGAACGGAATGAAAAAATTTAGAGAATAACGAGGAGTGAATCCCCTGTTTTTGTCCTAGAAAAATAAAAAAAGAAGGGGGTAAAGAAGAATAAAAAGAAAAATAAGAAATTCATATTTGGTTGATTTGTCTGTTGATCAGAAAAAATTCTTGAAGTTCTTCCTCACTTATAAGTTGAGGTTTTCAAGTCTTAAGAGTTCAACACAATGTCCACCAACTTGGTTTTTTTTTTCCTTTTTGATGAAAATGTCCACCGACTTGTTTGTTAATCAAAAACTAACAAACAGGAAAATGATAAAAAGAAACTAGTACATGAATTATGAAAACATTATAAACACACTAAATGGATAATTTAGTTAAACAAGGTCTATTGTAACATTATAACTTCACAAAATAAAAAAATATAAAAATATTATATGGCACCTTGTACAAAAAAGCTAGGTGTTTTCACAAGGCAACCCTCCACAGATGCTTAGTCGCCTTGACAACTATGATCTAATTTCTAGGGAATACTTGACCACTAGAAATGCAATTTCTGCATATATTGGATAATTGGAGAATATAAAATAGTTTTAGTGACTGAACATTATATGGATTTTTAATAATTGTACCAAAAAGTATGACTTACTTTACAGATTGTTTTACTTCTAGTCGAAGCTGTTGGCTTACTAAAATGGTAAAACAATGCACCTGTACAGAAGAACCTGCATTCAAGATCCACATTTAGATACACATGATGAAAGCAAAGAAATCAGACTCAGATCAACTAAACAAAAAATTGACTTGGTAAGTCATAATAGTGTGCTTTGTCTTAATAATATATGAAAAAAGGAGTGAAACATGACATAAACACCAAAATTACTGGTTATTGAGAGAAGGAAATATATATTTCATGCCACAACGTTTTTAACAACAAAAGGTTTAATAGAATAGCAGCATAGTAGTAAACACAATTACGCATGCTTCCATAAGTGTATGTTCCACCATATATTCATCCCCAGCTCTTTATTGATAGCTGAGCTACCAAGAGGCCTTGACACATTTATTCACTTGATGCTCCCAGAACTCGCTACAATTCCAGCGTGTTTTCTCTAAAAGTCCCAACAGATAATTCTAATAGGGTGGTGCATGAGGTTCTTCCATTACAACTGATCAATCACCTACAGGGAGCCCTACCACGAGTCACAAAATGGTCTTGTTTCTTGCCAAAATTCCATGCTTATTACCTTCCTGGCTTAAACTGTATCTCCAAGAAACTAAACACATTTGATACAAGAAACTTGAAAGATGATTTTCCACTGACATCAATGACTGCCACAGTTACAGTTAGAAGATGTCCTTAGTAAAGGAGTCAACAGGGCCGGTCTACATGAGATTACTAACAAGTTAGGCATGATTGACATCATTGCAACAACTTGAGGAGTGACTGGAGTGTTGAGTGACACTATGCAAGGGTAAATTGGGAATATTTTTATAATCTAGACCTGTTCAGACTTTATATATTTGTAGAGGAGTATAAGAATCCTTTTCCCCATGATCATTCTTATACTAAAACAAAGAAGTGGGTGGTCATTAGATACAGAAGATCAAACCCATGATTTATCCTATCTTCTCTCCTTCCTACCTCTACATGAAGCCCTTATTATTGTGCACCAAATACATCAAATTCAATGCCATAAGTTTGCATAACCCCTTTACTACTAACCAAGCTTTTAGCCATTCAATTACACCATCAAGTATATTCCATGATATAAACCCATTTACATCCAACCAATTTCTTACTAAGAGTAAGTACCAAGTCCCATGTATCATTCTGATCCAAGGCTGACTTTCCTATTCCATTGCTGCCCTCCATCCATAACCAGTCATGGCCTCCTGTACAGACTTAGGAACAGAAACTACAGACAAAGAAGAAATGAAACAATGAAGAACAGAAAATAAGTAATCGCAAGAAATAAAGCAATTGGTAAGTAGTGCAAGAACACTTACTCTTCCAAAGTGCATTTGGCATATCAAGATCAATGGAAGGAGTTGATTATGTATTAGATCCATAAATCATCGAAATAGATGATGGCTGAACCTGAGTAAGTGATTACCATGTATAAACCTATGTGATTCTTGGGAGGTTTTGTTGAATACAATCAAAGCTCATCAAATAATAGAATGGATAAAGAAGTATCGGAAGAGCAGGAGTGTAACTCAAGAAATATAGAATAGACTCAAAAAAGGTAACATCAATAGTGATGAAATGATGTCTTACAAGATTATAACACTTACAACCTTTCTTAGTTCGAGAATAACCAAGGAAAACATTTTATTCTTCAGGAGTCAAGTTAACCAAGTTTAGAATCAAACAAGTGAACAAGGAAAAAACAACCAAAGGCATGTCCACTAAGAGAGAATAAGGGACCATAGTTTAAAATGTCCATAAATTTCCTAATATTTCTACAAAAATATTTCCATTTCCATGGTTTCTGACACAACATTTTACTGGAATCAACATCTTCCCTAGTGAACACCACCAGCATTATGTAGAGTACAAGAGATAGTATTATAACATAAGTTTGCAACAGTATTGTAGATAATGTGGAGTAGCAATGCTATTGTCTGCCTAATGGACATGATTCTTTCCAAACATGAAGTTAAATATTAGTTTGTGTTTATTAATAGATTCTTTGATTGATCTATTAGAACTGCATGGATTATCTATGAGTTTTAAACTTTGCTTGAACTCATTCTATTGTGTAATTTTAACCAAGGTTCAAAATATTGATGCACCCCAATAACACCATAAGGTGCATATCAGGGGTTTGAACAACACACTACCTATTTTCTTAGTTTTCTTTCAAAACTTTATAGGAGCTGATCTTAGCAAGGCCTACCCCCTGAAAATATAAAAATTTTTAAAAAATTAATATTCCACATATCAGAATGGAGCCAATACAATACAATATGCCCGATATGCCTTGATATGTGACCAAAATTTGAACCTTGATTTTATAGGAGCTGATCTGTACTTTTGTCTGATTTTTGCTTGAAAAAATCACAAAAAATCATGGAAGCTTCAAACAGCTGCAAGAGTCATACCAAAATATTCCTAAAATCAAGGCACATCAAACCTACCAGCTTAAAGAGCTGCTGTGGTGGTGGTCTAACATCAGCAGGTCTCTGTAGTTTGGGTCAGCAGAAAAGGTCTTCCCACAACCAAGAGTGGCTCTGATACCAAGTAGAAAGAATAGGAAGAGAAGAAGAAGGGTTCAAATGCGGTGTGTTGTTCATTGTTCACACCCATAAACCAAAAAATCTAATATAATGACAAATTACACTAGTGCCCTTATTTGGGTGCCCAAAATATAAATAGTGGTATAGACAAAAATACCCTTGCAATACAATGTATTCTCAACACTTAGATACGATGCTTGCTTGGGTAATGAAGTTCTTTTCTAGGACACCTGGATTGAGGACTCTTAACGATAGATTCCTGAGTACGCATGCCCTCTCTTTAAATAAATTCAAGGACATTTCTTCCCCCAATGTGTCAGAGGCTCTTGGGATTTGACCTTAAGGGATTCAAAAGTGGATTTTGAAGATGATTTATTCACTCTTGTGAATTCAGTGTTTTTGGATCAATCTTGCCCAGATAGAAGAATTTGGTCAAAGTCCTCATGTTTCTTCTCTTACTCTTCGTTTTTCAATGCCCTACTTCAGTCTGCTAATGTGCCTGTTTTATTTTCCTTTTAAAGAAGTGTGGTTGTTCTTGTACCACCAAAGATTAGTGTCTTTTGTTGGGAAGTGGTTCTCCAAAAATTAATACTATGGATGTGCTTCAAAGAATAAGGCCTTTTGGTGCCTCTCCCCACATATTTGTAGCCTTTGTTTGGGGAGTGGTGAGATATTGACTCATCCATTAATCTCCTGTCCCTTTGTTTCTTATATTCAGGACTGGTTCTCCTCTCTTTGGTTGTAGGTGGAATCCTCCCTAGAGAATGGTGAACCTTTCCGACTCTAGCTTCTTCCAACAACCAAAGAAGAGGGTTAGGGTGATGAGGAGAACAACTAGAACAGCTATAATGTGGTCGATTTGGTAATATAGAAACAACAGGATATTCTGAGGGCAAGAAAGAATCAAAGAACTCACTGAAGGCATAGCCATCAAGATAATACATTGGTTGAAAACATTGGATATTTTCAATGACTTTTCTTTAGATGATTTCTTTAGGGGATGGAGTGCTATAGCGGCTTTATCTTCCTCTTCTCCCATTGTTCAAGAAAGTTGGTCCCCACCTCTATCTTGTATGAAATTGAATTTTCATGGAAGCTCTATGGGTAACCCAAGTCCTTCTGGAAATGGGGGTATCTTTAGGAATGAAGAAGGAAGAGTACTAGGTCTTTATTTTGGCCTAGTTGAGGTAGGAGATTCCTTAAGGGCAGAAGTGTTGGCTTTACTCCAAGGTCTCAGATTGGCTAAACAAATGGGGATTGCAACAGCTAGATGTGGAAAGAGATTCCAAGTTGGTAATAGGTTGGCTGCAAATAGGAAGTTTGGGCCCTTGGCCCTTCAGACAGAATATAAGAGGCTTTTGTGTCTAGCAAGGGAGCTTGGGGTGCAAGTTAGATGGACTAGAAGATCAGAAAATGGAATGGATGACACCTTTGCAAAACAGTTGTACTCTTTTTTGTGTGGTGAGAATTATACTCTTTAATTAGTCAATGGAGCTACCATTTCCTATCAAAAATATTTCCACTAACATCGTTCAAATTCAACCACTGAACCAAAAACTAAACCAAATCGAGTGAGTGATTTCAGTTTGGTTTTTTCAGTTCACAGTTTGGTTTGGTTTTAGCATTTCAAAAAAAAAATCAATTTTGATTTTTGGTTCGGTTTGACCAAAATTTTCAACTGAACAGAACAGAAAACTGAACTACAAATGGTGATATATATAAAAAATATATATTAATATTATAAGTTTATAACCAATCAGCCAGTCCCAGTGTCCCATCCCTTTTACCCTTTATATTTTTTGTTTCTTTAAAATACCCCCATCCAATCCCCACCCCCCACATTCAAATAATGCTCTACCAACCCTACACAACAAACATAACCCCCTAACTCTAAATCTCATTCTCTCATTGAGAAAGAACAAAGAACAACTGTCTGAACTAATTCAACTAAAGAACAAAGGTGCCACCCTGCTAGTCCACCACTATTTTGCACTGCCTACCGGCCTGCCACATAGCCATTGTCCTATCCTGCCACTGCCAACATGCTGCACTTCCATTGCCGATTTGTCGCCAGTTTATAATCCCTTGGACAAAATTCAAAATTCAGAAGTACCATTCCATGCTTGGGAGCCCTCAAATCCATCAAGTCTCTAGATTTCTCTAGTCTCCAGCAATGGAATAGAAGGGACCTTTCCAGGCCAACGTATGACTAATGTAAGGACTAAAGGATGTTCATTTTCGTCTCATTAATTTCTCTTAACAGTCAGCACCTTGTAAAGAGTTAGAACTTAGAATTTCTCTCTTTCTTGATTGTTATTATTATTGGTTTTAAATTTTGTGGTTTTGTAATTTGTAGAATTGGCAGCTCTACAAAACTTGGATTCTTGGAAACATTGAATTTGAGTCTCTACTCTCTAATTAATCTCTATCAATTTGATAACACCCTACATATCCAAGCTATGTCTAATTGAGACATTGAGTCATAATATTAAATGCATGGAACAATGGATGCATGGTGATATAAAAGGGAATTGTAGGAAGTCCTGAAAAGTATAAAAAATAGAACGAAACCGGTTTGTCATGTTCAGAAAAGTGAAAGTTCCTTTACAGTGAGTTTCATGGGAACAAAATGATTTAAAAATCAAACCAAACCGATTTAAATCTGGTATGATTCGTTTCGGTTCTGATATCCAAGTCAGTTTGGTTTGGTTCACGAGAACAGTTAAACCAAAATGTTGGTTAGGTTCTCAGTTCTAACCAAACTGAACCTAAAAGATTGAATGAACACCCCTACTTTTCAGGGACTATTAGGAAAAGAAGATAAGAATGTTTACTATCTAAAATTGAGAAAAGCATATGGTTTATAAGATAACACGTTGTAAGGACAATATTGCTCCAATAAGACATGGGGACCAACATCTAATGTGTTGGTGGCTTTCAAAACCAAAAGATGTTTATTCTTCCTTTTAGCAAAAAGGTATCGATACATTCAAGTTCGCTGCCATATACCATATTAAATAAAGAAATAAAAAAATAAAGATGGTAGATATTCTTTTGCATTATTAAATCAAGTCTTTATTTCCATCAAAAAAAAGGATTTAAAAATTGATAACAAATTCAAATTTATCTGTCATTAAGTACAATCATGTCATCTAAGAATGATCATCAACAAGTGTGAAACTTTTTTTGGACTAAAATTACCCTCTATTTCTTTGTTTGAACAAGGGTATAAAAGTCATTTTATTATAGTTTTAATGGCCATATTTGTGTATTTAATCCATCTCTAATTGTAAGGGTTGAAAATTTAACTTCAATTATTACTTTCCACCTCATTTAATCCTCTCTCATTAAGTCTTATACTTAAGGTATTTTTAAGTTATTTTTCGCTAATAAATGCTACTAATTAAATCTATGTCAATATTTTTAACAGTATAAATCCATATATTTTAAAATTGACTCAAAAACAAAACCATTCTTTATCAAGTGGTGGTTAAGCAATTCAACCATCGGAATCAAATTTATCAATCTACGAAGTCATAATTAGGTAATACAATTTTTAAAATAGAAATAAATAAAGAAAATTACAAAAAACGTAGAAAAAATAGTTCATCTTTTGAGTTAAATGTATCAAACTTTAATGTCATAAATAAATAATAAAAATTAATAAAATATAAAAATAAAAAATACATACATTTTGCAAAAAAAGCATTCAGACACATGAATAATATCATATATTTATCATATAAAACAAAAAGTAAGTGTAAAATATCAAATTTAGTTTTACAAACAAAAATTCAAAAAAACTATAGTAAAAATTGAACACATATAAATCTATATTTACACTACTATTAAAAATATGAATAAGTGTCGACAAATTAAGAAAGACAGGATTTGCGACAAATTAAGAAAGATATGATTTGAGATTTGAATAAATTTAGGAAATATTAGATTTGAATAAATTTAGGAAAGTCAAATCCTAGGATTAAGGGAAAGATTTAGTCAATCCCTATATTTCGCAACAATATGCTCAATATGTTTTGAATCATCAATAAAGAAATCTTCTTCTTTTCTCCCTCTATATTTCGCAACAATAAGATTGTAGAATTTTCTTTTGACTAAAATACTCATTTTTGAATTTAGTCCCTATTTAATTGTAAGGTTTAAATTGTAAATTGAACTACTACTTTTTACCACATTCAATTCACTCTGTTTAAATCTTACATTTTTTTTGATAAATGAACAATAAAAAGATACACAAAAAAAAACATTACAAAATGAAGAATCTAGCCAAGCAGTAGGGGTGCAAATGGATCGGATCATGATCCGATCCGATCGTTTATGTCAAATTTGGATATCCCCAGTCTGGATCTTCGGGTCGGATCAGGCCGGATAATAGGATCCAATCATAAACTAGATTAAATTTGGATCACTCCCTATCTGATCCTATATATATATATATATGTGTGTGTGTGTGTGTGTGTGTGTGTGTGTTATTTATTTATTTATTTATTTATAAATATATGATTTATATTGCAGTTTTGTAAATTTGTTATATTATTTATTTTTTTATAAAAAAATGTATATATATGATGAAAATAGTTGAAAATATGCAATCAGATCTGTTGTTTATGAGATGCGATCGGATCTGTTGTTAATAGTATTGGATCGGATTCGGATATTCCCTGATTCGAATCCGATCCAATCCGTTTGCATCCCAATCAAGCAGGTAGGCTTGTCAATGATACTTGAAACTTCACAACTCAATCCGATTATCACATATTTGTATGAGGTGCTTATGTAATCAGATTTGGATTTTGCATTCTACATCAGATATATATATAAGCCCAAATAAGACAAAACTGGGCACAGTCCCCATACACCTAAATGTATTAACTGAGAGGGATGTGAGATATGACTCACAACTCAAGATGAAAAATAAACTCTGTGGCATTTACTGATTTTTTTTTTTGATAAATGATATAAGCTTTATTAGAACATGGTTAAGTATCACAAGATTACAGAGTACAACCAGCAGTGGCGCAAGATGCAGCCCCAACCATATAACCAGATTATAACTGAGCCCATAATAATTCAGACTTATGCACCCCTTATTTTGCAAAGAAATCAGCCATCCTGTTAGCCGACCTCCTTTCCCATAGGGCTGAAATTGTCATATCTCTGACCAGCCACTTAAATCTTTTCATATATTCTTTTATTTCCAAATTACAGTTTCCGGTTCCTTCAACCACCCTATTACCAGTTTAGAGTCACCTTCAATTAACAATCTATCATAAGTTAAATCTCTAGCAAGCTTTACTCCTTGCAGGACAGCTTGGAACTCTGCAAAAACCGAGTCCCCTACTCCAACTGGACCTGAGAACATAGCAATAACATGACCTTCATAGTTTCTAAAAACTCCCCCTATACCAGCCGGGCCTGGGTTCCATAAGCTGCAGCCATCAAAGTTCAGTTTGATAAATCCTTCATCCAGTGGTTTACAGCCCACGACAGGTTTACTCCTTGTAGCAGAACTTCTAGCTACAGCTTCCAGATTTCTCCACATATCATCAAAGGAAAAAACAGAAAATAACTTTAGGGACTTGGCCCACATTAAAGCTCTATATAAGATGCAATCCAGAACTGCTTCCTTTTTTCTTTCTTTATCATTGAACACTCTGCCATTCCTTTCCTCCCACACCGTCCAAATCAATGCAGCCCTGATACATCTCCACAGAATTTTACTGCTTCTCTTTGGCGAACTGAAGGTCGTTGGTTCAAAGAGACTTCTAATATGAGTAGGCAAGCTCTACCTTTGCCCAAGAAGCTCAAAAATCTTTTCCAAGAGACTATCAACAAAAGGGCATATCAGAAGATGGTAGCAGTTTTCTCCACTTTATTTACACAAGGTACACCAGTTAGGGGATAGGCACATAAAGGGTCTTCTTTTTTGCAAAACATCCAGAGTGTTTATTTTCCCATGGAAAACTTCCCAGCACAAAGCCCCAACCTTGGGAGGAATAGGTTTAGACCAGACTTCATCAGTAGGGCAAGGAAGAGAGTTTGGGTCTGAACACAAGAAAGAGGAAAAGGAGGAACAAGAAAAATGACCTTTGGGGTGTGGAATCCAAATCCGGCCATCTGATTTAGAGAAATCCAGGGCAACAGAATCAAGAATTTGTAACAATGAGGTTGCCCTTTCTGATTCAAGGTCCCTTAAATTTCTTAGTTCCAGCTTAACATAGTCAACTCAGAAAGGGAAACAAAGTGAGAGAAAGGTTCTTTTTGAAACAAAGAAAGAGAAAACAAAGAGGGGAACAGATCTTTAAGGGTTGAATTACCAATCCAAAGGTCCGCCCAAAAAAGAACCTTGTCTCCCGAGCAAACATCATACCTGATCTGGCTTAGGAACTGAGGAAGCACTCCACAAATAGATTTCCAAGGAGAAGCCAAAGTAGCCCTCGACGATACCCCAGCATCCCAACCAGTGCCTGCAGAACCATGGATATTACCAATCACCTCCTGCCACAATCTTCCCCTCTCCTAAGTCCACCTCCAAAGCCATTTACCTAGTAGAGAGGAGTTTTTCTTATTTAGATTTCCCATGCCTAGACCCCCTTGATCTTTACTTTCACACACTACAACCCATTTGATTAAATGATCCTTTTTACCTTCCCCTAGCTCCCACAAAAATCTCTCATCAACTTTTCTAGCTTCATCACTTCCCTCTTTGGCATTCTAAACACCAATAAATAATAGGCTGGCAAATTTGCTAACGTGGACTTTATCAATGTAGTTCTACCTCCCATCGAAATATAATTTCTCTTCCAGGCAGCCAATCTCTTAGAACACCTTTCCACAACTGGGTTCCAAAACCTACTTTCTTTCGGATTGTCTCCTAGTGGCATCCCAAGGTATTTCAATGGCCAAACAGTTATCGGGCATCCAAAAGACTCTGCTACTTCCTCAAGCTCCTCCTGCTCCAAATTCATTCCTGCCACACAACTTTTCTCAAAATTTATTTTCAACTTAGACATATGTTCAAACAACTTGATCACCTCCTTCAGCTGCCTTGCCTTTAAAGGATCCCCACCCTCACAGAAGATAATTGTATCGTCTACAAACTGTAAATGTGTCACCACTGTATTAAGCCTGCCTACTCTCCAACCTTTAAAGAGATCCATCAAATCTGCTCTTAGGAGGACTCACTAAACATATCCGCTATTAGGGTAAAAAGGAAGGGGGACAAGGGATCCCTTTGTCTTAATCCCCTAGTAGCCGGGAAAAAAATCCCTCACCACACCATTTACCAGTACCGAGTAATGACAGGTTTTCAAACAACCTTCAATCCATCCACACCATCTCTCCCCAAAACCATAGCATTTCAATACTTCCAACAGGAAAATCCAGTCCACCATGTCATAGGCCTTCTCCAAGTCTAATTTACACACGAAACCTTTTCTCCTCCTCCTCCTATAATCCTCCACACATTCATTAGCTATCAGAATTTGATTGGTAATTTGTCTACCTTGAAAGAATGCCCCTTGAGGTTGTGAAACCAAACTAGAGAGGACCTCTTTCAGCCTCAATGACAGGACTTTAGACTGAATTTTATACATGCTAGTCACCAAAGTAATAGGTCTAAAATCTCTAGGACTAATGGCATCATCCTTCTTAGGTATCAAAGCCAAGAAAGTGGAATTGATCCCAGGGCTAAGGAAATGTTCCTCAGCAAATTCCTCAAAAAATGTTAGCAAATCAAATTTAATTATCTCCCAACAATTTTGGTAAAAAGCCATTGTCAAGCCATCCGACCCCGGAGCTTTAGACCTATCCATTGAGAAAACTGCCTTTCTAATTTCTTCCAACTCAAAGTCCTTTTCCAGCATCCTTGCCACTTCTAGGTCCAACCTTGGCCAGTCTAACCCTTCCACCATCACTCCTTTATCACTCACCTTCTTATATACTCTCTTAAAATGCTCCACAAAACAATTTGCAATTTCCTCTTGGCTCCTCGAGATTTCACCATTTATTTCCAATTTATCCACAAAATTTTTCCCTCTTCTTCCATTGGCTATTGCATGAAACAACTTTGCATTGCCATCACCCTCCTCAATCCACTTATGTCTTGACTTGTGCCTCCAACAGATCTCGTCTCTAAGTAATATTTCCTCTATCTCCTTTTTTAAGGTCCATCTTAAGCTTCTTTCCTCCTCAGTCAACCTTTGACTTTCCTTTTGATCCAACTGCTCAATTCTAGAGGTCACATTCAATTTTCTTTCCTCAACTCTTCCAAAAACATCCCTATTCCACTCCTTCAACTTGCCTTTTAAATGTTGTATCTTTCTGTGAAACCTTACTCCTTTCCAATCAAAAGCCCCCACCTCCTCATTCCACCAATCTTTCACTCTACTAGTAAATTCGGGATGGGTAAGCCTACATATTTTCAAATCTAAAAGGAGTAGGACCTGTCAAAAAGTCTTTTGTGCCTATATTAATTGGATAGTGATCTGAGGTAACCCTAGGCAAAGCACTCACCATTAGTGCTCCCCAATACTCCTCCCAAGCAACATTGAACACCAATCTATCCAACTTTAAACAAATGGGGGAGGCTTGAAAATTGGACCAAGTGAACTAGGTCTGCTGAATTGTTATTTCTTTTAGTTCAAAATCCTCAATAAACTCATTGAACCTTCTCATGCTTGTGGAAATCACTTGATTGGGGATTGTTTGCCTCATTTGTAAATCTTATCACATTAAAACCACCTCCTGGGCACCACGGCCCCTCCCAAAGACCCTTAATATCATAAAGCTCCTCCCATAATTGGCAAAAATATCACAATATCAAATGATATTGGCAAAAATATCCCCATTTTGCTAGGTAGCTATACAAAATTTTCCGGGTATCTTTATTCCAGATATCTCCAATATCGATGATATTTCAAATTTCACTGATAGATTATATATTTAAGGTTTAAATTCTAGAATGGTAGTAAAAACATTTAGATATTTCATTAAAATAATTATAACTTTTAAAAATATCTTCTTAAAAGAACCATGGGGAATTGGTGATATTTCAGATTTCATTGATACACTATATTTTTAAAGTTTAAAATTTTAGAAGATTATTAAAAAGTTTTCAATATTTTGTTAAAATCACTATAATTTTTTGATTTTATGATCAGGGCTCACCTTATACTTCTGTAGGTGACAGTTATATTTCTGTTTATCAAGTTAATGAAAGTTACCGCTTCCCATCAAAAAAAGTCACCATAATTTAAAGAATATATATTTTCCTAAAAGAACCATAGGGAATCGATGATTAATCAAAATGTATAGTAACAAAATAGAGGAAAAAAAAAGTCAAATGGCACGTAATTGACACATTTAATGAAGAGAAGATAGATAAAAGGCTAAAATGAAGACAAAGAGAAAGATACCAATAAAGTCTCTCAATTTTCTCCTATTTGATATATACAATTCTTTTCCAAGGTTTTTTGAGGCTTAAATGTGCAATTATATTTATTTTAATTATTCCTTGAAGGTTTAATAATTAATTCCATTTTTCTAGAAATTTTTCCCAATATTTTTAGATTTTCCAAATATCTTAGCAAATTAGCAAAATATCTCTGAAATTTCTCCATCTCTACATAGAGAAATGCCCATCAATATTGAAATTGTGAACCATTGGGCACAATTCCCATGACAAATGCTCCCAAAAACAGCTACCACAGCTCAATCAATAGGGATGTAGGAGAAGAATTTGAAAATCTAGCTACCTTAAGTAAAGAATACACCTCCTCCAAACAAAACGACTCAGGGCTGCCCAAGACCTGAAATTGGGCTGACTCATACTCAGGTCTCAGGCTTAATTCTTGATAAGAACTTTGCAACATAAGAATCTTTTCTTTGTTGCTTTATAACTGTAATATTCGAGGTGGTTGGTTGATAAATATTAAGTTCCTCACAGAGACCCACCATATCAGAATAACACTCCTCAAGGGACTTATCTCCTTGCTATAGATTGAAGAATGATTGAAATAGCTAGTAAATACAAGTAATACTATTGCTGTCAGATGTACATTCTCTTCACTTATTTCCATATTTCCTCAGAAGCATCAAGAACAATCAGTGAATTGCTGATTTTGGGCTGCATTTAATTCCATAACCATGTCTTGATATGAGCATCTTCTTGTATCCAATCTGAATGGGTAGACTTTCCACTTCAGGTTTCTTATCAGTTAGGTACTTCACTTTCCCTTTGCTGTAATAAAAACCTCAACAGATTTGACCCATACAGCATAATTGCTCCCATTTAACTTTATAGATGTCATCTGAACAGACATGAAGTCTGTAGACAGAATGTGCCAATTTAGAATCCATTCTCCCACCTTAAAGAAAGAGAGATTACGGAAAAGATGTGACCAGAATTGAGAATACCCTCATATCACCACTGTCAAATGCTCATCAAAGAGTCAAACACACATCAATTAGTTTATTTTAGCAGCAGAAAACATATTCACCAGCCTGATCACCCGTTACCTTTACTGCACAAATCACATAATATATTGCATAAACAACACTTCTGAAATCAGTAACAGACCACTTCATAGTTCTGGTCACCACACGCAATTACTTGAATTCACAAATGTCAGTCACATCACATAGGAATCATACCTCACAATCAGTTTTCTTCATCAGAGTCAGCATAATCCCTCTCAGATTAATACCCAGTAGAGGGTTCCACACACCAATCACTCACCATACAGATACTGATGGATGAAACCGTCACAGATCACTCTGAAACACAATCCGACTTGGTTTGATTCTCAGAACTTTGTAGAGAACTAGAAAACCAAATGGAAGAACAGATCATACCAGGAGAAAGATGAAGGCACTTCAGCTTACCACAATCCCTGCTCCAATACCATGAAATATATTTATAATACGGCTTACCCCTGTATGTGCAGGGGCAAGACTGTGTACATCTGTCCCTCCCTAGACCCTGCATTGACGGGAGAGTCGGAGACTCATGCACTGGACTGCCTTTTTAGAACAGAAAGAGAAGAAGAGAAGAGATGAAAAGAAAGATGAAATAGAAGAGAATAACCAAAGCTGTTTTAGGTTGAGAAAAACCTTAACTCACACCAACCAGCTGGCTAGGATAAATAGGTTACTAATCAAGGCTAAAATTACATCACTATCCCTGTTATGTAAAATATAAGGACGGAGTGTCCTTATTAATAGTTGAGAAAAGTCTAAACTACCCCATCACCCATAACTATGTAATTAACATAATTTTTACATATCTCTCAGCAATGCTAAACTTGCCTAGAAAGAGGGATTTAACTTGGCCATGTAGCTGGGGCTTTCTGGCCTCAAACTCACCTTACCAAAAGGGATAGCTAAATGAACATGTGGAGCCATTGAGGTCCCAAAACTATTTTTCCATGTAGAAGAAACCTTGATCATCCATTTATATGCATGTATACAAGTATGTATATGTGTGTTGATAAGCAATAGTTAGGGCCCTGATATGCAATGTTTTAAACTCAGCTGGACACAAAACTGTTTTGGTCAAGGGGTCATGGGTCAAATGGTCCAATTAGTGGGTCAACCCAACCTGTGACATCACACTTGATACATATGTAATATACTATAATTTTAAAACATACCTTAGTTGTGGCTTAATGGTTTGATATCTCATTTCTATGTATGTGGATTGTGTTTGAATCACCTTAATTGTATTTTATAACAAACAAACATGGCAATAACTATGATGCCAGAAAGGTATGATATCAGAAGAATTTTGACCAATTAACACCCCCCGGGTGAATTTTGGTGAATACCAGCTCATTGGTTACCACTTTTATGATACCAGCTGATTGGTTATAAGTTCATCAAATATCACGCCTTTCTGGTATCATAGTACAACTCAACAAACATAGATTTTTAATGTATATGAACTAAATAAGTGATTTTACACACAAAGAGAACCGTGGCTTGGTAATCTTGAACTCATAAAGAAAATGCTTGGGTTTTCTAAAACCCATTAGTTCTTTGAAAATCAGATGGTTTTCAATACTGCCCCAGTCAGTGGCAGTTCAAGTGTTTCTTAAAAAACTTAAAAACTGGGTTTTCTAAAACCCAGAATGGCCACTTTGGTGAACAAGACAATTTTTTTATGGTGCTGGAAAGCAAACCAATAATTTTGACTTCAACAAGCAAAAGAGCATATGAAGAAAAAATTCTATAAAGTTAACAAAAACCCTACAATAGAGACCCCACATTTGACCAGAAGAATGCATTAATGGGTATAGTTAATAATAGGGGCAAGAAGAAAGCAATATAATAAATTCCTTATCAAAAATCCAGCCAAAGAAAACACACACACACACACACACACACATATATATATATATAGATAGATATTGATAGATAAATATTTTTAGTATGATAAGGTTGAAACTGGAGAAAAAAAAAATTGATAGTCATATTTCATTAATTCAAAGATCGATTACATGAAAATCCCCTTAGAGAGGCACAAGGTGCTGCCTTTCCATACAGAAAACACAAAAACTACATCAAAAAGTGCATGACTGTTAAAAAGACGCAAATTACAGTTGCGCCCAGAACAATGTTTCCCTGTTTGTCCCTTATTTTGCCAAGACATCAGCAAATGCATTAGCTGATCTCCCAACCCACTACCCAAAGTTGGTCCCAGAAAAATATTACAGCACCTATAGGAAGGCCACTACCCAAAGTTGGTCCCAGATATCTGGGTCTTGGGAGGGGTGGACTGGACATGCACCTAACCTTTGTCTTTTTTATTATTATTATTTTTTTTCTAGCACAAAATGGCCACTCTCAGACTTGAACCCACATTCTCATACTTGTCAGCCTGAGATTTTACCCTCATACCAAGCAATGGCCCCTATATGTAGGTTGTATGTAAGTTAAACAATTTGTTATTACTTATAAGGAAACAATGACAATAGGCTCATAAAAAACAACAATCAAGAAGAGTATAACTTAAACCATAAATGGTAAAGAGATAGATTGAATAAACTAAAAGGAGATGGTGGGTGTTACCGTGGATAAAATGTTCAGTAGATCCAAACAAAAAGCTTGAAACATCATCTCCTCAACAGACTGCTTCACCACATTTTCAGAAGTATTTAGTTACAAATAGCAAGCTTCCCTGTCCATTCATCAGCCACCCCATAATCCAAGCTCATCTCTCTCAGAGGTGGGATGTTCTCCAATGCAAAAAGCATAAGATGAGGATAAAACACGTTATGGTGATCATATAGTACAAATTGCACAAGCACATTGGGACTTGAGCTATGACTGAAATAGCAAGCAATGTTCCTCGTTCCTGATACATCCAATGCAAAATCTAGTGGAGGAATGGATGGATATTGTGGCCGTAAAAAATCAGGAAAAATTTGAGATAGGTCACCCCATTCAACCCATCTCCCGGGGAATCGATGTGGATAGACTAAACTATCACCATTCATCGTTAATATTACAACTTGTTCCTTGGTGAGCACAACCCCTGTATATTCACAAATGAAAGCACCAGCCGCAATCAAATCCAAGGACCTAACTCCCCAACCTGTTTCCCTTGACCTAAACACTTCAAAGTGATTCTGCACACCTTTTTGACTTACACGATTCCGGCAACTAGGAGGGCAACGACAAGAGCTGCCACACTCAATTATCAAAGGCTTTCCTCTCAAGAGGATACCTTTTCGATCATAGGCAAACTCACCACCATTTCTCTGGGCGCAATAACAACCATCGGAACAGCCCGAGACACAATCACATCCACCATTTCTGATTTGCTGAAATGCAAAAGGGGGATAAACAGGCCTCTCAAGGTACTCAAATGACATTGGATCTTGATCAGAATCAATGTCATTAAATAGGAGAACTGGCAATTTCTCCTTCCCTTTTGAGATATCAAGAGACAAACAACCATACGGCCTTGCAGACAAAGGGTTCTTTTTCAAGTTCTCAGCTAACTTAAACATAGAACTCCCCATTTCAGGTTGGTTAGGAATTCTCAAAAGCTTATACTTGTAAACTCCAAAACCAGACTTACCAACATCAAACCATGAACGCACTACTCTATACAGACCATCATAAACATAGGCCTTACCAGTAACGCTTTTCTCATATTTGATCCCCCGAATGACTCTTATTTCTATTTCGTGTTCCATGCTCCGTTGTAATGCAAGATTCCCGCCCTCAAGCTTCTGGTTAACACACTGCTTTGCAAAACGCCTATCTTGCCCACCCTGACCAGTGTAGATTATCTCCTCCCCAGCATCCTCGTCATCTTCATACCCACCAGACACAATAATACTCGTCGCAATGGGCTCCCCGTTCGAACTCTGGCTCGCCGGAACATAGTCAATCCCAGCTTGAGGATGCCCATGCAGACCAACAACACACAATTCAACCCGGTAAAAGAACACATCTCCAATGTAAACTCCAGGAATTGTCCCAACAATCCTCTTCTCTCTGTTCAACCACAGGCCACGGTCCTTCATCAGAGTCGCAGCTTTTAAATCCGCCCTCATCCTCCTACCCGAACCTTGTTCTTTCTGTTCCTCATCCTGCATAAAGACAACCCGCATGGATTCGTAGAGCATCCTCGTCCTCCTCACCAAATCTCTAAAATACCTCTGATCCTCAATCCCCATGTCTGTAACCCTAACCATCTCTCCTGACCGACCGCTCTTCTTCTTGTTATGCCTAGCAACAGCCATGGAAACACTAACCTCCGGCTGAGGCATAACTGCCTGTGAATTCGAACCAAGAACCGCCACATCTCCATACTTCCTCGCGGAAGCAGACTGAAAGAGCTGAGAAATCCGAAAGAATTCCGAGTACAAATCATTTTCCTCAGCAGTAAACTCCGATACCGGAGAGATTTCTTGGAGAGGATCGGGGTCAGAGCTCGAGCATTGCTCATAACCAGGATTAAAGTTAGGGTCGAGATAATGATCAGAAGTAGGACCAAGGTTCAGAAAGTTAGGTTCTGGATCAAGAGGTTCGACTTTGGGTTCGATCTTGGGAGTGATGAAGTGGTCCGGAAGGAGATTCAGGTCTAGATATGGGACCAAAGATCCCATTTTCAGACGAAAAAATCACAAAAAGACGATCTAACAACAAGATTTTCATCACAACGAACAACTAGTTCTGCAGAGCTTTGAAGGAGTGTTCATGGCAGCTCAAACATGAGAACGCAGAGGCAATGAACGATCCAAGTTACCAACTAATCACTACTTATCAAGCATTTCGCGTGTCCGAAACCAGACAAATAAAGCATTTTACGTGCCGGCGGAAACAAGCTCGAGATAAACATTTTGTATAAAAGTGCCCCTAATATTAGTTATATTAACCAAACTACCATCACATCCCAACCGTGTATTAGAATCATCTCCCAATGCAGTGAAATATAGTCTGCAGCGTTTTTGGAGCATTCTGTCATTCTGTGGGAGGCAGATGTAAACTCTGAGCGGACCAATGCCATAACCCTTTTCACTGTTGGATTGAAGACCTGGGATCTGTTCTTCTTCCTCGTAGAGGGCACCTTACACCGACTTTATAGACATATCCCGCCCTGTATTAGGTACATTACGGGAGATGTTTTGATGTGTAGTTAGAACGTATTGTGTGTTTGGTGTGAGGAGCAGATTCAGACTCTGGATTGAAACTCTGTCATAACTCATGAGTCCTGATCACTTGCTCATATATGGTGGGTCTTAGTTTTACTTTTATGATAAACTCAGTTTCACATTGAGATGTGTGGTGTTGGGTCAAGTTGGTAGGGTGTTGGAATTTGTTTTGTTGATGGGAGATCTCAACTCTTTTAATGTTATAGCGAGGAGTTTATATTTACATCTCACAAAACATATCACATATCTTTGGGAACATATCACATACAAATGTTCCCAATGTAAGATTAGGGTCGGCTTTAGTCAAAGCTTTATAATTCAAACACCATTCAAACATTATGAGAGAACACACGCATTCATAAGCACGTATGCATACTATATACGTGGTAAACGGACGTTTACCATTCTCCGGTCTCCACCCAAATCGACCCACTGAACCCCTGTTCTGCTATCCTCTCCAACCGGCGAAGACAAAAGCATCACCGGTAAAATCTTCTTCCGGGACAGGCAATATAGAGCAAGTAAATCTTCCTTATTCTTTACTTCTCTAAAACACAGTCTTCTCCCATGAAAAGCCTGACCCTTACTGTTGATGATGGCAGTGATATTCCGCCAGCGACGAACGATTTCTTCTGCAACTGATCCGCCAGCAACCGACGATAAATATTGGATAATAACTAGGCCAGCAGACAGAAGCAATTCCTGGTTTACCATGAAAATAAAAGAAAGTTGGAAATATCTCCCAACACAACATTACCTCTCAGACAGGCAGAGAGGGGCCCGTGCCCATGAAACAGGGACAAAATCGATTTCAATGGGAGTAGGGGCGGCAAAATCAACTTAATAAACCTTAATTTTTTTTCCTCAGATTCACCCTTTCCCACTTTACTTTCCTCTCACTCATTCCCACTCCTATCCAAGCATAACAATGAGTGCCTTCTCTCTCCTTCTCTCCTCCACTCCCTTCTTTTCCAGCTCTTGTAAACTTATTGTTTTCGAGCTCTTGCACTCATTACGGCATGGGGAAGGACGTTGAGGTTGCTAAAAACGGCCATTTCTCCACCAAGGACTACCACAACCCACCTCCGGTGCCTTTGATCGATGCCGTGGAATTGACCAAGTGGTCCTTCTACAGGGCTCTCATCGCTGAATTCATTGCAACTCTTTTGTTTCTCTACATTACTGTGTTGACGGTCATCGGTTACAAAAGCCAGACTGTCCAGGCTCACAACGGTGGTGATTGTGACGGAGTTGGCATCCTTGGCATCGCTTGGACTTTTGGAGAAGCAAAGAAGAAGGGTCAGGCTTGGACATTCGGTGGCATCGCTGGCGGATCAGTTGTAGATGAAGTCATTTGTCGCCGGAGGAATATCACTGTCATCAACAGTAAGGTTTAGGCTTTTCATGGGAGAATACTGTGTTTTAGAGAAATAAAAAAGAAGGAAGATTTACCTGCTCTATATCGCCGGTCGCCGAAGAAGATTTCACCACCGGTGATGCTTTTTGTTTTCACCGGTTGGAGAGGATAGAAGAACAGGGGTTCAGCGGGTCAATTTGGGTGGAGACCGGAGACGTGGGAAAGAAGAGAATAGAAAGGGTAAGGCGAAATGTTTATGTTTTGAATCGGGAGATGGCTAACGGCGTTCGTGGTAAACGTTCATTTACCATTCTCGTACGTATATAGAATATACACATGCCTATGAACGCGTGTCGTTTTCTCATAATGTTCAAATGGTGTTCGAACTTATAAAGCTTTGACCGAAGTGTTCGAACTCATAAAGCTTTGACCGAAGCCGAACCCCATTCTGTGAGGTGCAGATGTGAATTTCATGGGGAGTGGTTTCTTCTACATTATGACCTGATAAATCTAGACCGTTCATAAGAAGTTCGGATTATCTACCAAAGACCGGAAAACATTTGTCGAATATCTCATATGCGGCTACAATGTATTGTGGGTTGACGTGGGAGAGTTATATGGGAACCGATCGGAAATTATACAAGGCTCTTCCAACTGCAACTCACATTTGCCTACGATAGTGGAGATTGGCTTCAATGCCCACTCCGTTTGCATAGCCGTAGTGTATTGGGAATATTTTCATACTTCATAAATATTCTCAACGAGACTTTAATTGACTGTGCAAATGATGTAAGAACGGTCTTGTGAGGATTATTCAGATTTCACGAAAGTGTCATAGTAACCTTGTACTAAAACAACTAAATCAAAGCCTTTGATTTGTTGCTATAGCCCCACCTTGAATTAGATAAAGTGACTTCTTGGTGGGGCCATTGTAGTACATATAAGGTCATGATTTTTTTGTTTTATACCTGGACTAAGGCATTTTTTAAGTTAAAGTGAACTCTTTTGGTGATGATGCAATTAAAAATTAAATTGGTACACTTTGGGACACTTGGTCTCAGTTTGGAAGTACAAATGCAAATATGTTGCATTTGCACTCTTTCCAAACTGAGCCTTAGGGCAGTCAGAATGTCAACTCTAGGTAGAATCAATCTCAAACCATTATTAATGGGGACAAAATTAGACCTAGAACCATCCAGATTAATAGTTGGATCTATGGGAGCCAAACTTGATAGACTCATATATTGAAAATTATATTTGTTTATTTAAATGATAACATAAAATTTAAATTTTGATAATATAATCTTAATAAAAATGATATATAAATACTAAATTATTTAATGTTAATAAATTAAATCATTTTAACTAATATTATTTAAGGAAATTTTCCTAAAATATCCATATAGTTTAGGAAATTAACTAATTATACCCTTATTATTTACATATAATCTTAAAGTACTATTTGACTTTGTTGACAATTGTTTAAAACCTCCCTTGTCATTAACTTTTTGTCACATCCCATTTATATGTGACATCACATAATTGGTATATTTTGAAAAATTCCTAAAATTCCCTTTTATGATTACTGTGTTATCTCTGTCTCTATCTCATCAATGCAAACATCTATGCCATTCTTCCCAAATGGTGGTCATTCGAATATTTCTCGAGGAGAGAAGAAAACCCACAAAAACGAAGATGAGGAATCGACTCCGGGAGCTAGAGAAACAACTCTTGGATGACAACAAGAAAGATGAAGGAGATGCCGCTTTAGTGGTTACCGATAACGAGTAGAGTGAAATTGTGCAAAATTTGAGAACCCAAATCAGTCTATGTCCCCCTCTCCAACTTCTGGATCGTCTTCGTCATCAGCTTTGCCATAGTCATATTTCAGTTGTTCGCAATTAATACCAACGAGCAAACAAGAAAGAAGGGGAACCTCACAAGCCTCTCGAATCATCTACTCCCTCTTCAATTCTTGAACGTCAAATATTTCAAATACCCATATTCTCAACTTCATTTATTGGTAGGTTCTTTATTTCCCCCCTCCCTGAAAAAATGTTCTTCTCTTTTTTTGGTGGAGGCTCATATGCTCGAAAATGACTGGTCTCTTTCCTCGATCAGCCCTAGCACCAGCAAGCACCGGCGGCCGAGGAGTTCTCTCGGCTGGCATCACATCCCTCGATGGCTGTCTCTATGACGGGCCTCCGCCTGGCATCCTCTTCAAGGACTTAACCTTCTCCAACATCTATTTAGTGTCGAGAGGCATCTCTACAAAGGAACAAAGCAAGTGTATCAGTACTCATGCACAAGAAAAGAAAAGCCGACAACAGGAGTTTTCCTACCGAGGCAGGCGGAGCTGAGACTAACTAACACTAAAGGTAACTCCTCCTCCACCAGGGGCTTGGCTCGGATCTTCCCCAACACTTGGATGCGGGTAATCATCACAGCTTCATCGTCCCGAAGATAAGGGGATGCATTCTCAACAGTCAAGTTCATCTCCCTCAGGGCAAGAAACAAAGAAGAATTTCTTCTTCCAGTTATGCACGGACATGGGGTTGTCGACCACTTGGTCATGGCAGGCCTGGAAGTAATATATGCCCAACTCTTGAGGGTGCGACCACGACATGAACATGCCTCGGAAGATCTTTTTGGTCAACTCAACATCTCGAAGACAAGCCATCACCAGCACCGCTATTATGGTCCTGAGGGCGTTGGGGGCTAGTTGGTTTATTGTGATGCCATACCACCTTAGCAACTCACGGATGAGTAAAGGAAGAGGGAACCTAAGGCCGAACTCTAAGTAATGTTGGAAGACGCAGATTTCGCCCTCCTCTAGCACCCATGGCCAATCACTGGTGCCTGGGACCCTAAGCCTATAGTTTTTAGGGATATAATACTTCTTGGTAAGGACCTTCACTTGCTCAGTACTGAGGATGCTATCCAGTTTAGAGCGGGGAAGACACACCACTATCGCCCCTCAGGCCGCATACTTGGCCATCGTTCTCAGACTGGGCTCAGGAACTTCTTCGCCCTCAACTACCTCGGGTGACCCCAAGGACCCCTCGGCTTCCCTTGGCATTGTGGACCCAACACTTTCACAGGGAGAAACACCGCCCCTTCGGCTGCATTCAGTGCCTATGGGGTAGTCCTCTCCCTCAGCTACAATTTTGTGCCTCGAGACAAGGACCTCAGGCTCACTAGAATGGCCTTCACTACACTTGGCCAACGTTGAGGTGTGGAAGGAGCTCACTCCCGAGGGATCAAGGAGGTCATAGCACTCAAGGCCAGAATCTGAGTAAGATATCGCCACAAGCTGAAGTTGTTTACCTAAAAGGACGACGTCTGAAAAATTCATGAGGTCAAGGTCTCTGAAGTCTAAAGCTCTTGGAAGCAAATGGTGAAGGTGGTCTCAACTAAGTCCCCTATTTAAAGGAGAATGGATGGCTCAGATCGCATCCCATCCAACGGCCACAGAACAACCGACTTAACGATCAGAACCAACGCCCGACATGCATCACTCGCCTCAAGAAGACGAAATGACGTTGAGAAA